TCAATAGAAGTAGATACCCATGTTCATTTTTCTAATCGAATTTGTTAGTTTTTAACTATGACTGGTAAAATGGATTAAAGACAAAGTTAAAATAAAGGAATTGTTTTAAAATTATGGCAGTATGCTGGTGATCCCTGCTGGAAATGCTGATAGACCGGCTAAAGTAGACTTATAGGAAGAAGTGAGCTCAGACTAGACATTCACAATCTGATAATGTTCATTGCTATTCCAAAGAGCAGGCAGAAAGTGAGACAGTAGTACAGGGCCTGCAGAGAGCAATCAGGAGGCACTGGCAAAGGGCGTGCAGAGAATACACAGGAAGTGAGTGAGTCAGTGGCACAGGGCCTGCAGAGAGCAGACAGGCGGTGAGGCTGCAGAGAGCATACAGGAGATAGAAAAAGAGGCAGAGGGCCTGCAGAGAGCAGACAGGAGGTAGAACAGTGGCACAGGGCCTGCAGAGAGCATACAGGAGGTGGGGCAGTGCACAGGGCCTGCAGAGAACAGACAGGACATCGGGCGGTGCACAGGGCATGCAGAGACCAGACAGGAGGTAGAACAGAGGCTCAGGGCCTGCAGAGAGCATACAGGAGGTGGGGCAGTGCACAGGGCCTGCAGAGAACAGACAGGGCATCTGGCAGTGCACAGGGTATGCAGAGAGCAGACAGAAGGTAGAACAGAGGCTCAGGGCCTGCAGAGAACAGAAATGAGGCAGAACAGTGGCACAGGGACTGCAGAGAGCAGATAGAAGGTGGGGCAGTGCACAGAGCCTGCATAGAGCAGACAAAAGGTAGAACAGTGGCACAGGGCCTGCAGAGAGCACACAGGAGGTGGGGCCGCGCACAGGGCCTGCAGTGCAGAGAGCATACAGGAAGTAGAACAGAGGCACAGGGGCTGCTGAGAAAGAAATGATGCAGAGCAGTGGCACAGGGACTGCAGAGAACAGATAGAAGGTGGGGCAGTGCACAGAGCATGCAGAGAGCAGACAGGAGGTAGAACAGTGGCACAGAGCTTGCAGAAAGCAGACAGGACATGGGGCAGTGCACAGGGCCTGCAGAGTGCAGACAGGAGGTGGGTCAGTGCACAGGGCCTGCAGAGTGCAGACAGGAGGTGGGTCAGTGCACAGGGCCTGCAGAGAGCAGACAGGTAGTGGGGTAGTGCACAGGGCCTGCAGAGAGCAGACAGGTGGTGGGGTAGTGCACAGGGCCTGCAGAGAGCAGACAGAAAGTGGGGCAGTGCACAGAGCCTTCAGAGAGCAGGTAGGAGGTGGGGCAATGCACAGGGCCTGCATAGAGCAGACAGGAGCCAGTGCTTTTGCACAGGGGCTGAAGAGAGAAGACAGGAGGTGGAACAATGGCACAGGGCCTGCAGGGAGCATACAGGAGGTGGAACAGTGGCAAGGGGCCTGCAGAGAGCATACAGGAGGTAGAACAGTGCACAGCGCCTGCAGAGAGCAGACAGGAGGTGGGGCAGTGGCACCGGGCCTGCAAAGAGAACACAGGAGTCAGAGCAGTGGCACAGGCCCTGTAGAGAGCAGACAGGAGGTAGAACAGTGGCACAGGGCCTGCAGAGTGCAGACTGGAGGTGGGGCAGTGCACAGGGCCTGCAGAGAGCAGACGGGTGGGACAGTGCACAGCGCCTGCAGAGAGCAGACAGGAGGTGGGGCAGTGCACAGGGCCTGCAGAGAGAAGACAGAAGGTAGAGCAGTGGCACAGGAGCTGAAAAGAGAAGACGAGGTGGAGCAGTGGCATAGGGCCTGCAGTGAGCAGAGAAGAGGTGGAGCAGTGGCACAGGGCCTGTAGAGAGAAGACAAGAGGTGGAGCAGTGGCAAGGAGCCCTGTAATCTGTAATATCTGTTTTCTCCTCCTTTAAACAACTAATAAGCACAGCAGGGGTGGGTGGGTCATTTATTTCCAAAGTTTAGGCATATTAAACATTATATTTGTTTTAAATGTTTTATATCATGCAATAAATCTGAAACTACCCTTGACAGTTCATGGGAAATGTTCTGCAGGATGATATAGCTACCTTCGCTGCTCTGGTACCCTTGATCATTTTTGTTGTCTGCCAGTATAAAAAGAAACTAACCTGAGCCATAGAGTGTGTGTTCTTGCTAAAGTATGGGTAGAGGATTAGTTTCACATTAGGGTGAGCCAGTGTCAGCACATCTGCTGAGAGTTATTCCACAGGAGGGGGAGCAAATTCCAGATGAAATGTGAGCTGCTGCTGTCTACACGCGTTTAAATCTACCAGCCAGAGAAGCCATTTCCCTGCAACTGGGTCTATGGGATTCACTGGTAAAATGTGTTCTGTTTGCACCACAAACCTATATAGACAGGGCAGCCTCTTCTCTAAAAATGTGTCTTGCAGTAAGTGTGGATGTGGCTTGACGCCACACATTATGACCTTATATATGCATGTGTACAATAATCAGCAGGTTTGGGTTTGATAACTTACCTCTGCAATTACCGTATATACTCGAGTATAAGCCGAGATTTTCAGCCCATACAAGCAAGATTATGATTTATTCCCTTCTGCCCATGGAAAATGGAGCCATCATTTCACTGTTTATTTATATGTCATCTACATCATTTAGAAAATGGATATGTCACATCTTCCTTCCTGTCATTCTAGATGAAAGATTTTTAATTGTATGGACAGCCCAAGCAATTCAGTTCCCTTCAACCGCAGGTTGCCCAAAAACATATCATATATCCGGCACCTCCCTGGTCTCTCCGCTGTATTATTCTTGAGTGCTTCGTATCTTCATTCCTGTAGTGAGCTTAATACTTTTTATATTTGTCATCTAAGTGTGCTCTACCAGACTAACTTTTCCATGCATCCTATTCTAAGATTCCTGCTAGTTATAGGGGCATACCAAGCAAAAAATGTAGATATATATATATATATTTATATAATATAACAGTTTTGAAAATTGTGCTCTGCATCATTCAGGACTAATCTCGATGTATACATGGGATGACTGGTACACAATCTAATCAATTACCATCAGTGGCCATAGAGATTTATTCTGTTGATGCCCCCACTTCCCCATATGCTGCATAGAATCCCTCCCAGTTCTTATGCTGCAGGCCAGTAGGAATGGGGAGGTGTTCATATATCTCAGTTCAACCTCAATTCATATTTCTGCTAATGTTGACAGATACTAATTGTGATTTAATAATCTAGACAAGTGTCACTTGATGGTACTTGACCTGAGAAAGTCCTAGAGATCCCATGATGAACAATGGCTAGTCAATGGAAATCCTTAAGGTGCCCATACACTGCCCGATTCTCGTACGAGAATCGCGGGAAATCCCGCGATCGTATGAGAATCGAGCAGTGTGAACGAAGACGTGCGACCATTTCTACTGTACGGTCACACCTCTTTTGTCTAAGTAACACGCTAGAAAACCAGCCGAAAATCGTACGATTTTCGGCTGGTTTGAACGGTGCTCCGGGGACAAATGCCGAACGGGCCGGTGTGCGCACGCGCACACTGCCTGTTCAGCATTGCGCTCATCGGAAGCCCGCCCTTCAGGGGGGCGGGCTAGCGAGGATCGAGAGTGCAATCTGCCTGTCCAAGATGAGCAGATCGTACGTTTTTTTAATCACTTTACAACCATCGCAAGACTAAGGTCTTGCGATGGTTGTACAGTGTATGGCCACCTATAGAGAGGTGTGGGATGAAGTGCTCAGGCAGCTGTCCCTCTATATTTTACAAGGCTGACCACACTGAGATTGATAATACCAATGGTCCTGAGCACCTTTCTTCAGTATGATAATGCTTGTCCAACAGTAACATTTTTCTTCTGGAAAAAACCCACCCAGTAAAGCCTTCTGTTCATCCTAACATGTGGCTCAACCCGGTTTACCATATGCAGCTTATTTATTTCTAAAATAACCCAATTGACAACATTTATTCTGATACAGTGCATAAGTAAACAATTCAGCCTTGAAAATTCTGTGTGCTCTCTACGGCAGCAGGAGGATTAATGTCTAATATGCCGTTTTATAGTATGAAAACAAAACAGATTAAATGTCATATTAATAAGGAGCTGCAAGAGGGCAGAAACAATTAAGACAGAAAAGAATTAGAAAAACAGTTCTAGTCCACATCTAGTAATTGCGATCTTCGCCCTCTGGAATAAAAATGCTGCATGTTAAATTATCCCGTCTTGTACTTTTTTCCTTCTGTTTCCATTGTTTCCATTGCTGTAAGTTGAATTTTCATTTTGTGTTCATGCTCGATTTCAAACTTACTTTTTAATTGGTGCCACTTGATTCCAAGCAACGATTTGCACTCTCATTTATGGTAAAGACTTATTTTCAAAAGTTCGAAGTGTAGGCATAATATTTTCTCTGTACTGAAAGTGAGAGTCTATGAAATGGCTAGCTTTAGGTTCTTATTGTATTAAAGGAAAGGGATTTTCATATATATAATTCCGTTGAAAGATTCATATTTGGAGGTTATAAGCCAACAAAAGTCAAAAAGTATATGCAAAGTTCTCAGAAGCTCTACCTATGAGCGAGTTGTTAGTGGATCAGAACCTTCCACTTCCTGTGTGTTCCATTCAACCACTGAGTTCAGGAAACTGTAACAACAAGCTTGGCGTAGTTTAGACATGACGTCCTTGTCTAAAGCGAACTCTCCTACGCTGCAGGGACATGCTCGCCGGCTGCTTCCCCATTCTTTCCATTATTTCCTTAATACGTGCTAGGTTTGACTTTGTCAGAACAAAGTCACAACGTGTGGCTCCCATCTCATATCCTACTGCACAGTTCTTGGTTGATGGCGTGAAGCCTTCAGCTCGAGCTGTAACGGCATACTCTCCTGGATTCAGTAGTCTCCAGTAATCCCCATCACTCCCTAAGAAACAAAAAAACAAAAAGGCAAAACATCTACATTTAAAGAACTGAAATAATATTAAAGAACTGAAATAATATTAAAGAACTTTATAAATAATATTAGCACATGCAGTATATGTGTGAACAATTCATTTGTAGAATATGAAGGTTTCCAAGATAAGGTGACTAAAGTTTCTTATTTAGGTAAAATCAGGCCTCCTATGCTAAATCCCAACATCACATATCATAAAAGAACTTAGCAGAAGAGTGTAAGAAAGGAATAGCCAAGCTCCTGCCCTCCAGCTGTGGTGAAACTACAAATCTCATGATACATCTGTCTCTGGAAGTCATGCCTGTGGCTGTCACAGTTTTGCAATGCCTCATGGGATTTGTAGTTGCACCACAGCTGGAAGGCCAGAATTTGCTTTTCCCTGGTGTACACCATCAGTTTTGAAAGATGACCGCATCACGGAGGTAAGCAAGTAACAAATATAGATGGTGGACTTTCTCATACCTTATTCATGGTTTGCTCTCACAATAGTTGTAGCTTATATTCACAACTGTCTTGTCACTTCCATAAGTTTAGAAGACCATTGAGCAAAATGTGAGGGACAGCACTGCTAGCCGTTGTCAGACTAGAGCAGGGGTAACCAAACTCCGGCCCTCCAGCTGTGGTAGAACTACAAATCCCATGAGGCAGTGCAAGATTCTCACAGCCACAGACATGACTCCTGGAGAGAGATGCATCATGGGATTTGTAGTTTCACCACAGCTGGAGGGCCGGAGTTTGGCTACCCCTGGACTAGAGGCACCACTATCGCAAAGGTTTGGATAAGCAAGATTGCAAATTTTCAACCAAGATTCCATTGTACCACCTCTTGTCTGGTGCTGTTTAACATTCTCGTAACCCCTGTTGGGTTGTTATTTTAAAAGAAAATAATACAAGAGTTGGGTTTTAAGATTGATTCCCATTATTTCTTTGGGTTTCAGCTGTTTTTAATATGTATCAGTGGAGGAGTTCACAGGCCACAGCTGCTACATCACCACCTATTGATCATTTTACTGAGACAGCGGAGAGCTGGCATCTGAGGCGGTTTCTATTGGGGTGTGACTGGGACTAGACTTGCAGTGTACAGGAAAATGGTACATGCAATGTAGTCACTGTACCAGCTACAGGAACAAGGCTGTTAATCTGCACCAACATAGTATTATTTCTCAGAGCCTAGACTACTTTTACCAATGACATTATCCATTCCGTGTATGCTGCGCCACCACCGTGGCTGGCAATATATATTTGCTAAGCCTGTCGTAGAGTTCTAAAGTTCGTCAGACTGGGCTGAGAAATAATCAAGAGATAGCTGAGCTACTTTTATTGAAAAAGAAAAAGCAGAAGAGAGCGTGGGAGGTTTAAACTAATACTGGCTGCGGATGCACCCAGCATGTGGCGGCTGGAATTATTCCCAGTATTACTGTAAGTTTCTAATTACTGAACTGTTAATTACATAGGGAAACATATACTTAATCCTGCTCTCCCTAAGAGTCTGGTTGTTTTAGGATAAAAGAGAAGGAGGGGAAGATTAATGGGATACAGTTTTTTCTTCTTGTACACTTGAGAAGACATACAGCTAGTTAATGAAATGCCCCGAAATGCGCCTGCCTTGAGCTATTTTTCCCGGGATATTTCTGGAGCCATTTCTGTGCTGGGGAAATATAAGTTATTTTTCAACCCAAAATATTTCAACAATGTTGGTCCTTCAAATCAGAAAAGAAAGGGTCTGTTTCAAAGCTCCACGCAGCTTCTACGGCAAAAAGGATCTGAAGTGTTGTAAATAGGAAGCTGTAGAATGCGTGGAATGAGAAGTAATGTTTCTAGTAATGATACTCATCTACGTTCCTTCTTCTGCTGATCTGGGAAGGTATAAAAGACGATGGACAAGATCCAGTCAGCTGCCATTAACCTGCTGTATGTGTTTTTAATTTACTTATTTGTCCTGGTTACATTTTAGCTGAGCCCGCTGTTGAAAAAAAAAATATGGAATGCATATACGTGTACTGCTTTACTTGGCAAAGGATTTGAAATTGTTGTCAGCCAGACTGGTGATTCATACACCCCTGCCAAAGAATACAGTCAGGCACAGGAGAAAGCATGCAATCATGCATTGGACAATAGTCTAAATTCTTTATCCTATTACTATGTAACTTGTTCCTGGTCAGTGACTCAAAGCAGTGAGCATGACAGCCAGGCAACTATCATTTTCAGTAGAGATAAGCAATGGTTACTTACATATTTCTCTTAAGAAATACAGCCACGCACCAGCCTGTGACTGGACAATTGAGAAGCAGCAGCACACTGATATGGTCAAACGTGTGCTCTACCCTTCTGTAAGCATGTCCCATAATTTAGACTGACATCACTGTACATGGCACAACACCCTCATAGAATGACACTGCTGACCCTCCTTCTCCAAGTCTAAGTTCTGCTTTGCAGACCGAATCAGGTTCTTTTGCTACTTCCACTTACAATACACGTCATGATTCTGTGTTATGAATGCATAACTAGAGTTCAGGGTTTTGAGTATAATGCCAAACTTTTTTTTTCATATTTTGGAGTGTTGAAGGATCCGTCAGATTCTTATTTTTTGGTGAGATCTTAGTCACTATTTTCCCTGGGCACTGGAAGAGAAAATTAGAAATTCTGAATTTTTCAGTTGTCAACATTAGAGGAGTAGAGGGGAAATCTTCCATTAAGGACACTTGTTCCAGAGATGGCTGTCAGAGGTGGAATATACCATCATTTTGGGGAGTTTCCTATTACTTCTACTTAATTTTATCCCAGAGATGGGCTTAAAATATCAGACAAGGGGCTATGAGCCATCAAAAGCCAAAACTTGCAGCTGAAATGCAACTATTTAAGCTTAACCTGAGTTGAAGAGAATATGTCCTCCTCTCCATTGGAAGGAGTGCTGTCCATGGCATCAAACTGTAGAAGCACCACTGAAGCATCCAGGGCACAGACATTCTGTGAGTAATAATGTATTTAGAGATAGAACACTCCCAAGTAACACATCTGCTTTTATCTTCCACAATCAGAAATTCAGTATTCAATTTGTGGATATATTTCAGCACATTTTTACTCACAACAATAATCTGTAGTACAAAGCTGTCTCTGAGATACGCTGGTTCTATCAACATTCTTTCTTGAATGCCACAATGAAACATTAGCTACTGCCTTCTAACCTTCCCTACAAACACAACAGCAAAACCATGACAGTGTATGTGCAGGCAAAATCATTTCTTTCACTGTCAATAGTACATGGATCTATGTGAACTCATTTGTAAGTAAGAAGTGCCTAATCCCTGTATTTTAAGGACCCATTGCCTCTCCAATCTCCATTAGCTTGCTTTTATAGCATTTGTAGATAGGTTTCCATTTAGTAAAGTTCCATTCTTTAAACACACTTTATTTGATATTACGCTTTACTTTGTTACTCTGCAAGCATGGAGGTTTGTTCGTCTATGTGTGTACATACAACAAGTGGTATTAGTTTATTGCAACATTCGGGAAGGTGAGTTGAAATCCATTAAAGCTCAGTAATAAATTTCTATTCAGATTTTAATTAATACTCCCTTAATTTGTCTACAGCTCCTTCTGCCTATGTTTTGGATAAGGGTAACACCATGTTCTTCTCTGGTCATAATTACATGGATGATAAGGAAGAATCATCTTCTGTGTTGTAAATCTAGGCACGTTAATGTCAGATAACAACATCATACTGGGGGGGCATGCTCACTGTCATACGCAAGGCAAAGGATCTCACCCTTAGATACTCCAAGATATCTAACAAGCTGAGCGGTGTTTCAATCCCATGGTGACCTCCCGGAAAACAAATATCAGTTTGGATGGAGTTGGCCTTTAAAGTATGTAATCAGCTTTTACTCAAAAAATATTCAAATAAATATTTCATAAAATAAATACATTTATGTCACAGTGTGTTTGTTGTCATTCAGCCATCTCCTTCCTGTTGCTCCAGCATTGGGTAGACATCATGGAGAGGGAGAGTAGGTGCCGTTAGAATTAAGGTAATTTAAATGATTGTTATGCTTTCATCAATACTGGATTGAAAGTTAATAAGATACATTTTAGCCACGGTATCACCTGCTAGTGAAATTTGAAAGCTGCTTACCAACATAGATGCATAAAGTCTCCAGTGCAGTCTAAACAGTTATACTTCTGAATAATTAAAGTGAATCTGTGCCCACTGTATGCACACTAAAGTATATTGAACAAGCTGTAAAAGCATGTTAAGCCTCATTCACCTCTGTAGCTATAGGTATTTTGGGGAAATGTATCTTAAAAGTTCACAACAGAGGCATGGAGATCCCAAATCTATACCCCTTTACTGTCTACTGTAGCATAATTTTGGCAGCCTGCCCACTCTATTTGAGTTTTTGTTGAGATCTTTAAAAATCTTTGAGAATAAATTACTTTATGGTACAAGTAGCAAGAGAGGTGAGGGATGGCTTGTTTTAAAGGGCATGTAGCACTCTGTCTCTTTCACATCCATGCACATTTATTTTAGTGCTGGTTGTAAGCGCCACCCCAGCGTGAAGCCCAATGGGCGTTCTTATGTGTAAGCTAGAGTACAGCACTGTAGACACTACGCTCTCTCTGAGATTCTCACCAAATAGTATAACATTATAATCAGAGTTTAGATGGGTGATTATGTGCAATGGTTATAGCTGTTACCACTTAGACTTATAACACAGCCCCGCCAGGGCTGACTGTGGAAGAATGTTTTGTAAAACTTCCCCAAGGCACATCCAAGCAACAGAGGATGCAGAGAAGGAGGTCCCCCTGGCTGGCTGGATGTACCTTGGGGAAGTTATACAAACTATTTTGCCTCAGTCAGTGCAACGTATGTTTACTAGCAGTTGGCTGATCATACAGCCCAGCCAGCACCGACTGATCAGAGGATCAGTCATTGCTGGCAAAATAGTTTATATAACTTCTCCTCCCTGTAT